GGGTGTAGAAGCCGATCCTTCCTTGGTTTTGTTGATGAACTGGTACCTCGAGTGAGTCTTAGGAAGCCAGTATCAGCTTCCTCAAAGGTCTTTGAGAGCAAGACAGCACCTTGCATAGGCCCAGCTGCCTCCCTTGCTTCAGAGCCTACCCCCCACTTCCAAAACCAGTGGCCTCCTACCTGTCAAGGCTCTTTGACGAGGTGATGGGAGGGCTGGACGGGTAACCTCACAACAGTTACACATACTGCTCAGGGAGGCATCGTCCAGAAGTTCCCACCTAGAAGGAGGTCAGGGATAGGGCAAAGGTTCTACTTAAGTCAACATGCCAGAGACCAGGGGAGGGATGGGGGACCATGAGCCAGGCCTGCATTTAACAGGTAAAAAACACAGAGGCTCATAAAAAGTTGTTGACTTGCCCATGATATCATAGACAATAAAAGCCAGAGGTAGGCCCTGGCTGGTTTGGTTCAGCGGTTAGAGTCTCGGCCCACAGACCAGAGAGTCCTGGGTTCAGTTTCCACTAAGAGCACGTACCTCGGTTTCAGTGTGTCCCTGACCCCGGTTAGAGTCGTGTGGGTGGCAACCAGTCGATGTGTCTCTCTCACATCGATGTTTTTCTTCCCCTCTCTCTTCCTCCCTCTCTCCCTCCCACTCTATCTGAAGATAAATGCAAAAATGTCCTCAGATGAGGATAAAAAAAAAAAAGAGCTAGAGCTAGGATTTGAACCTGCATCTATGTTAGAGTCAAAAGTCTCTATTCCCAACATACCTCACACTGGCCGCTCTAAGCCAAGACATAGATTGGTCCAGTTGGCCAGGGAACTATTACAGGAGGGACAAGATATTTGGAAAGGTCAACTGAGCCACTTTGAGCCTCAGTTTTTTTCACCTCCCAGGCAATTAAGTAAGGTCATGTACATCAAATGTCAGTTACAGGATAGAGCATGCAATGCACACACACCTTGTGAATGTGCACACCTGTTTGTGTTCCTGTGGGAGGACCAGTCTTTCTTGGTAGTATCAGATGGGACCTTGGTAGCATCAGATGGCAATGGATATAAAACTGTGGTGGGAACAGAGATCTAGGCTGAGGAATCTTTGGAAGATGGGGTGTGAGGGGACCCAGATCCTGAGGACACCTGCTTCCACTCACACCAGAAGGCGTATCAATAAAGCTGAAGGCCTGGAAGGAGAGCTCCAGTCTCTTGGGGGCCTCTCAGGGCAGGAAGTGGAAACGGCTTTCTTGCCATCAATCAGACACCTGGAAGGCCCAGACGAGGAGGTCAGTAGGGCCCAAAGAACCTTGAACTGAGGTCTGGTCCCAGCCCTGCCTCAGAACCACTACACACCATCGTTTGTTGAGAATTCTGCATGTCAGGCACTAAGGTAAAGATCGCTCCATTCAATCTACACAGCAGTGCTGTGAAGATTCTAACACTATCCCCGCTTCACAGAAAGGGCTCCAGAGGTCAAGAGACTAGTTAAGGTTCTTGATCCCTGACCTAGAGAGGATCACGCAACAACCCCTACAGGGCACCATGTGGGCATCTGCCCCTCCTGGGCCTGGGAAGGTTCTCAGTCTCTGTCCCAGCCTTCCCAGAGGTACTACCCTGACCCCCTTCCCTAAGTCCAGTGCCCATGATGTTTGGCAGTGCTGTAGTGCACAGGGACCACTTCCAGATCCTGGCCAGGGCTGATCACACACTCATCCACATATAGCTGTAAGGGCTATAAAAAAGAAGTCCACATGGAGGTCAGAGCCGAGCAAAACGGTGCTGGGAAGAAAACCAGATGGGGATGACATGAGGTTAAGACACTCAAGGGCTTGCCTGAGGGCACACAATAAGCAGGTAAAGCCAGTGCCCCTTGAAGTCCAATGCCCTCTGACCCTGTCACCTTGCCTCTTCTCTCTTCCTGCTCTCACCAAAGTGGTCTAGCTCAGAACAGGCACAGAAGCCCCTGAGCTGGAGGCTCTTCCCCTTGGGTTATTGCCTCAGCTGATGTCCCCCATCTGTAGCAAGGGACGGATCAGGCCAAAGTCACATGTTGAAGTCCAGACATCCAACCCCAGCCAAGGAGCCCGTCACCAAAGAGGCTGGGTGGTGAGATGGGGACTTCTGGGCTGGCAGAGAAGCAAGTAAGGGTGAGTATGAGTCTGGCTTGTGAGAAGGCCCAGAAAACCAACTCCAAAGGCCCATGACAGGTCCCTTGGGGCAGCCCAGGCAGTCATGAGGACAGCAGATAGGGGGCCAGGACAACCCAGGGATTCCAAATTCTGGCTCCCAGGTGAGCACACCCAGCTCTGCCTCAGGCTCACACCAGGGGGCTCAGAGGTCAGTAGTGCCTGCTGCTCCATTTTCTGGGGGCACGGGGAGCAGAGGTCCCCACCCAGCCCACCCTTCCTCCTCCTGCAGGTGGCAGGGCCTCCAGGTGGCTGGGCCCAAGCAGGCTCAGGGGTGCTAGGCAATGCTCAATGCCTGGCCGTACAGCTGATGAAGGAAGGTAGCAATGGGGCGCTGCTCAGAGTCTCTAGGTGGAGGTGTGTAGACTAGGTCAGCAAAGAATTCCATCATCTTCCCCGAGACCTGGGGGAACACCAGCTCCTTAAGATGGTACAGGAAGCCAGGGCTAGTACATCCTCAGCTTGGCCCCCACCTGATTGTCACCTTTCTGGGCCTCAGTTTCCTGCCTAGGTCCCGTTTGGGGTCCCTGTCTTGCTCAAAAACCTATTTTGCTTTGGAGAATGATGTGCTAAGTTGCATCTGGGGGTAGACTGTTGAGGATGCAGGGAACAACACAAGTGCAGGGCATGTGTAAACACATACATGACCAATGGCAAGTCTGCATCATACTCTCGCACCTACCCAATTCTGCAACAATCCAGGCCTCTGTTTCTTTTAGAAAAAGAACTAAAGTTCAGAGAGGCTATGACTTGCTCAAGGCCACAAGAGTGAGTCAATATGATCTGACTCTGCCCCTTTCTCCAGGCTAGACACACCAGCTCTGCCCCACTCCCCCCAGAATCTCCCTGGTAGCCCCAGATCTTGGGAGTCTTGTCCCTATAAACCTCAGCAACCAGATGAAGCCACAAGCTTTGAATGGGGCAATGAAAATTACATAGTCAGGCATGACAGGGACCAAAGAGAATGTGTGGGTGCCAAGGCGCAGGTGGCAGGCATCGAGCTGGGGCTCCCTCCTCACTGCCTGGAAACCGTCCCCTGGCAGTCCAGCCCAGGCTGGCATGGCCAAAAAAATGTCTTCATTGGGGATATAATGAGCAGAACCTGCCCAGAAACCTCCCCTAATGTGCCCCCCATCAACCACTGCATCTCCCCAATGGAGGTGAGGTGTGCGTGTCTGGGGGCAGGTGGGGGAAGTCTCTACCTGCCACAGACAGGCTGTCCAAAGACCTTATCCCCACCAGCCTGGCCTGAGAATGCCTGTAAGCTCCTGGTATGAGCGCCTGTACGTGCTAGGCCTCTGCCCACGTGCACCCCAGTAGTTCTTTTTTTTTAATCCTCTCCCGAGGATATTTTTCTAATTATCTTCAGATAGAGAAGGAGAGGGAGAGAAATGGGAGAGAGAAACATCAATGTGAGAGGGACACATTGACTGGTTGCCTCCCACATGACCCCGACCAGGGCCGGGGACAAACCGCAACCAAGGTGCATGCCCTTGGCCAGAACGGAACCCGATACTCATTGGTCCACGGGCCGATGCTGTACCGCTGAGCCAAACCAGCCAGGGCCCCCCCAGTAGTTCTTTATAGAGCAAGGCCACCAGTGGGCCAGATGAGGCCAGAGGGGACCCAAAGTAGGGCAGAGCTGAGGGGCAACAAGGGAAAGGGCATAGGGGCTGGTTCTGAAGGAAGCTCAGGTTTGGCCAAGAGGAAAAGGATTTTCAGCTGAGGAATGTGGGGTCAGGGGAGAGGCTCTGAGGGCAGGTGACGGGGAGTACACAGGGCTGCAGCAGGGCTGAGAGCTTAGACTCTGGCCTGGGCAGCTCCCAGCTGTAGGGGGAGCGCTGGGGGTAGAAGGGAGAGAGAAGTGAACAAAGAATTGTTGGCAGAACCCAGATGTCATGGGGTTACAGGTGTGGGTGTGGCCCTCAGGGGAGATGGTACTGGATTGGAGAAGGGTGTGGGAGAGGCAGAGAGAAGGCTGAAGTGGGGGGGGGGCAGGCTCAGAGCATTTAAGAGAGCCAGGGAAGCAGCTGGAAACCTGGCAGAGGTCCTGGGGGGCTTGGGAAAGAGACCCTGCCAGTGTGGGATGAGAAGGGCAGCAAAGGCCCACCCTGCCCCTTCAGGGACCCCAGCTCTGAGGCAGGCCACCAGACTCACCTGCAGCTGCAGACACCCCAAGAACAGGAGCCACAAACCCAGAGTCCCCATTCTATCTCACTAGCAGTCCTCCATGGCCTGAAGCCCCTACCCAGGTGCAGGTGGTCTCTTGGGGGGTGGGGTTAGCCCACTGAGCTGCACCTGGGCTACGAGGGGCAGGGCCAGGGTCTTAGCCAGAACTTATTTGTGACTTGGGGCAGAGCTGAGTGCCTGGGTCAAACCTTCAAGGTGTTGTGGGGAAGCAGATAAATGGGGTGGGGGATAGCCACTGGGTCACTCCCTACTCTCCAGGACTCCTGAGTCCCTTCATGGGAGTCCCATGTGATACTCATATGGGGGCTGTCTTCATCTCAGGCACCTTCAGATTCAGGTGGTATATGCCCAACAGGCTCCCCTCCCAGAGGTGTGGATGCTTTAGGCTTGCAGAAAGAGGACGATGCCTTTCTCGAAGGAGGCTGCAGCACCAGGGGGGACTCCCAGGCATCATCAGGGGAGCGCTGGTGGGTGGGAGAGACCAGAAAGGCCCAGTGCTGGCCATTGTGAGTGATACCTGGCCTAAGGAGTCAGCCTCCAACTCTGAGGGACCCCAGCCCTGTTCTCCACCACCACATCCCTGCCCATCCTCAACAGAACCAAAGAAAACTCAATTTCTTAATGATTTATTAGACCAGGGCTGTCCTGCCTTCCAGCCAGGCCCCAGCAGTCTCTATCCCAGGGATGGGCTGGCCAGAGGATCAGTCCTCAGGGTCCCATTACCACACGTCTGCATTTCTCCCAGTGCCTGCTGCTCCTCTGTCCAGCCATGCTGCTAAGGGGTGACTTGGCTGAGCCACTGGGAGTTCTAAGTCCCCAGCTTGCCAAGTGACCTTGGCTATATTCCTTGCCCTCTCTGGGCCTCAGTTCCCTTATCCTCCATGGGAGGATGTTACTTTCCTGTCAAAAGACAGGGCTGGGTCCACTCCCACTTGGTATCACGAATTCCATGGAAGCAGACAGGGTTTAGGTCCTGCCTCTGTCTGAGTCACTGTGGCTGCTGCTCCTTGAGGCCTTTGTCTCTGTTTTCATCAGCTCAAATCCACTCAGGTGCCAGGGCCTTGGAATCCAGGGAGCCAAGCATCACATCCCCTGGCAGGAGGAGGAGGTTGGAACAAAGCAGGCAGTGGGCCAACCCCTAGGCAATGTACCAGGGTGAGGTCAGGAGGAGCTGGGCTTCTCCACTGAGGGGTACAGCTTGCGAAGGCTGGAGTCCAGGAGGAAGTCCACTGACCTGTGGGGCGAGGGAGGGTGATGAGCAGGTGATCAAGGGGTACTAAAGGGGAAATGGGAAGGGACTCTTTGGATGCAGGGCACAAGTGCCACCCAAGTGGCAGCCATCACTCTCTTCTTTACTCAGTTGGGACAACTGAGAACCAGAGAGGGTAAAAGACTCACTCAGGGGCTCAGGGTCAGCTATGTTCCCTTGGAGAAAGACTCCCACTCTATGTTGGTCTGCCCTACCTCTGGTTCTAAGAGCAAGCACATGATCCAAGCCTCGACAATCAGAAAAGGAAAACTGGGTCAGAAATGGGTGAGTTTATAATGGACCAATGACAGCCTTCCTTGGGATTTTTGTTGTCACTATTAAGAAGAGTCCTATGGTCCTGGTCAGCTTGGCTCAGCGGTTAGACCGTTGGCCTGCGGACTAGAGAGACCTGGGTTCAGTTCTCGCTAAGGGCACATACCTTGGTTGCAGTTTGTCCCTGGCCCCGGTTGGGGTCGTGTGGGTGGCAACCACTTGATGTCTCTCTCACATCGATGTTTCTCCCTCTCTCTTTCCCCCTCTCTCCCTCCTGCTCTATCTGAAAAAATAAAAATTATTATTAAAAAAAAAAAGAAGAGTCCCATGGGGACTGCTAAGCTGGTGGGATGAAAGCTGTGAGTTGCTGGGGGCCATCTTTGGTCTCATGAGTGGAAAGTGAGTGAAGCCAACATGCGGATGGGTGGAGAAAAGGGCAGCAAGATAGGGAGACCCAGACCCCTAATGACATGGTTTGGGTGACTGCATCCAGTCATGCCTGAAAGCAGCATAATGATTTTTCTTTTCTTTTTTGTTCTTTATAGATTTTTATATTTTTTATTATTTTCTTTATTGATTTTAGAGAGAGAGGAAAGGAGAGAGAAAGAGAGATAGAAGCATTCAGAACATCGACTGGCCGCCTTCTGTATGCCCCCAACTGGAGATCGGGCCCACAACCTGGGCATGTGCCCTGACTGGGAAGCGAACTGGCAACCTCCTGGTGCATGAGTTGAAGCACAACCACCAAACCACACCAGCCGGCTTAATGACTTTTCAGCTTCACAAAACAATCACTACTTCTATCATTAAAACCCTCCAGGTTGTACCTGCTCCCACCTGCCTCTGGTTGTTGTGTAAACACTAAGGTTTTTTTTCTGGGAATTTACTTGTTCTATGTCCTATACCCTCCAAGCACCCCCACCCACCCCTGCCAAAATACCTGCCAGATCATATGACAAGGACAAAGACTATCCTTCTTACTTTTACAGCCTTGAGTGCCAGCCCGGCCTTTGCTGCTATTGTTCTGTGCAAAACAGGTTCACCCCTGTCTCTCAGGGCTTATCTCCACCTGTAATGATCCCTGAGGCTGGGAGCAGCACCCACCTGTCGATGGGGTGAATGATGATGGGGATGACAAGCAGTCCCAGTGCCGTGGTGGTCCACTTTCGGACAGCCAGAGGCCAGCGGGTGGCAGTGCCCAGGACATAGAGAGAGGCCGCACACACACGGTTGATAGTGAAACCAGGGATGGCTACAGAGGCCAGAGCCTGCCACACGAAGGTATCCACCACAGCCACAGTCACCCTGGTGCTGCGGCTTGCTTCAGGGCTTGGCACCTGGTGGGCACAAGAGAAATTTAATCCAGGGGCAGAGTCAGGAAACCCTGTGGACAAGGAGCATGAAGGGAGAAGGAAGTAGGCAGGGAGGCAGGGAGGGGCTGGGACAGACTACACTACAGTTCTGGACTATACCACATTTAGACTTACCTACATTTGGGACCGAGGTAAGAGCTATGTCACACAAAAGGCTGGGGGCAGGGTACACCACTATGCTACAAACAGGACTTGGGTAGGGACTGCACCAGGTGAGGTTGTGGGGATTGGACTGTCTACATGCTTTACCACAGTGACTTTATCACAGGTAAGGCTGTGGACCAAACCACAAAGGGAATGAACTGGGTGGGTGCTGAGGGGCAGGTTAACACTCACCTCTCCTGCTTTCTTGCCTTTGTCAATGGCATCAGCCAGCACGTAGGAGCTGGACACACCATAGCTCAGCCACACCACAGCTGCTGGCACCATGGAGCGGAAGGCCTCCCCTACCTCATTGGCGTAGCCTGTTCCAGAGGGGACATTTAATTCCTGGTTCATGGATTGTTCCACAAGGGGGCACTCCAGTGAGCTGGTTCTAATCCCAGCCTGCTAAACAGAAGCTGGATGACCTTAGACAAGTGGTTTTATCTCTCTGAGCCTGTTTCCTGGCCTATAAACTGGCACCCATGATGCCCACCTCACTCTAGAGGCATTGTGGGAAAGCTGAGTGCAGTCACCATTATCACTCACCCACTCACTCACTCACTTTCCTTCCCAGTCTGGATTCTAGAAGCATCTGCACTAAGAGGAAACAGGCAGACAGATTGACCAAGGGCAGCTCCACTGACCAGGCACTCACCATGTGCCGGGCCTTTCTGTGCCTTATCTCATTCTACCCTTACAACTACCACCTGATGAGAAAGACTCTGTGTTCATCCCTGTTTGCCAAGGAGGAAACTGAGGTCGGACAGAGCCGGTGAGAAGCTGGAATAGCAGTCCAGATACTCTGACTCCACAGTCAGGGCCTGGGCATGTCAGAGAAGGTAACCTGCTCAACCCGTTTCTCTAAGCAGTGTGTGAGCTTCCACCTGAAAGACAGGACCAGCCAAGACTCCCTCGCCCCCAAGGGCAGGGCTGGGCCAACCAGAGCTGTGTGACCTTGGGCAAGTCCCTAACCCTCTCTGAGCCCAATCTCTCACCCTGGCAGAATGAGAACTAAAATCCTCCCACCTTCTCCAGGACCCGAACCAGCCTCTGGTGACCCCTGCTTCCCCAATTACATGGGCAGGGGAGGTGCCGTGCCCCTGCCCCGCTCTCACCCAGATAGCGCACCCACGTGTCCCGGAAAAGGTCGCGCTCGGCACCCCGCGGGGGCGACTCGGACATGGCGTTTCCGCGGAGGCCCCGGCCACTGCAGCCGTCCCTGCCACCACCACTGCGACCTCCTCAGCTTCCACTAGCACTCCTACCCAAGGTGGTGAGACCGACTGAAGGTCTCGGACTGAAGGACAGGTCGTGCTGTCACCAACAGCAGGGAGCGTCTGTAAATTCCCCCGCGCACCGAAGCCCCTCTCCCAGGCTTGGGTTTTACAGATTTTCTTCACATTTTCTACGGGGTTGAAAGGTTGGCACGATCTTCTCCCAGGACTGACTATAGTTTGGGAGTAAAAGAGGCCGGCGTTCAAATGGAATATACTATACTTCCTAGCTACACTTCCTAGCTGTGTGACCCCAAGATTCTGTATTTCTCTGAGCGTCACTTTATCCATTTCTTAAATGGGGAACACGACAGCGTTCACTCTTGAGAAGACAATTACAAGTCATCATTTATTGCGATTACTACTGGCCAGACTGTTGGCCAAAGAGTAACAGCTAAATACTTCACCGGCTAAAGACTCTAGACAGATTACTTCCTTAAACCCTCCCATCAACTGTGACCCCAATTTTACAGATGAGGAAGTAGAGACACAGTAAAGATGGGTCACTTTCCCAGGTCATACAGCTGCTAAGCAGTGAAGCCCGGATTGGCTTCAGACCCTGTACTTTTAAGAGGAGCTCAGTAAATGAGCCTGGGGGAGTGAACAGGTGGGTACCCTGGTGAGGTGGATACTTGGACTCTAAAGTCCTTTCCCAACAAGTTCCATGTATCAAGCACTGAGGTCTAAACTGGATTGGTGTGGCCCTAGACAGAACCTCTTGGGGACAGGACCTTGAATGAACGAATGAGGCCAGGGAAACAGGATTGTTGCACAAGACTTCAGGGAAATGAGCAGAACAGAATGAGGGGGCTTGCGGGTTAGTGATGACTAAGGAGGGAACTCTTCCCCTGCTGAATATCAGTTTACCCATGTGAGCAATGAGTGTAGCTCCGTGAATCCTTTTGGGGGTATCAGCAAGCAAAGACACAGCCATTAAAGACGGGAAGTCCTGGGTTCAAATTCCAGTTGTGCCGCCTATTAGCTGTGAGCCACCTCTGTAAAAAATGAGTAGCTGATACTTACCGAGTGCTCAGTTGTACCAGGCTCTCTTCTAAGCACTTTGCACATATTATTTCCTTGAATATTTGCAGCAACCCAAGGCGATAAGCACAGAGGTATTGCGTGGTACCCAGTAGGTGTTCATTAAAGAATTAGCTTTTATTATCATTAAACAAAATTGGAAAAAAATGAAGACTACTGACTCCCTATTGAGGGTCCCATTTTCAGCCCTAGGCGTCGCTGTCTCTGTAGGGTCGTTTACGATAGCCTGGTCAGCGGTGACCTCTCGGGAAGCTGGGCTCCGGGCTCAAAAAGATACCCAGTCCGCAACAAGGGCAGTGCTGGCGCAGAATTAGGAGACGGTCCCTAACACCACGTGATTGTTGCTCCCCCGCCTCCTTCTCAAAAAGGGCTTACCGCGGCATCGCGCGCGCTCTATGGACCCGCACGTGTCAGCGCGCCAGAACCACCGGGCGCGCACTTAGAAGCCCGGGTGGGGCGGGGCCTCCGCCCTGACCGTGAAGGCGGCCAGGAGCATTCTTAATGCCTTTAGCTAAGATGGCGGAAGACAGCCCACCAGGTAGGCCAATCAGGAGGCAAGCTGGCCGTGGGGCCCCAAGGGAAAGCGTATGCCAAGGAGCGCCGAGGTGGTTTCTGCGCATGCGCCCCGCCTATAGGCGGATAGATGTTGCTAGGCTCCGGGGCAGAAGTTTAGAGTTCGGTGAGTTGAACTGCGAGGAACGAGGCGATAGGCATTGACTTCTATTTTCTGTGCGCTGAACACTGCTTTATTAATTAGTTAATTTTCCTAACAAAGCATTGTAAACCAAGATTGGAATGTCTCCCTGAAGATTCTGGCTGGAGCCCTTGCGGCCTCGGGCTCCCTCTTGCTCTCTCAGCTTCTGACCAGCTCCTCAGGCTGGGCTGCCTTCCCGTGTTCTGTGCTCCTGTGCAGCCCAGCACCTGGTTTGCGTTTGCAGGACGTGGGACTGGGATGAGTGCTATGGTTGCCCGCAGGGTCCGTGCCCTCCAGCTCCTGGTCGCTGAGCGGTCCCATGGCCATCCCTGCTTGTCACCGTGGGTGGAGGGGCCAGGAGACTGTGAGACTATTTGTAGTTGCCTCCAGGCCCTGACTCTGCCAGATGCTGGCCTCGCCTTTGGCTCCCTGCCTGGGCAGTCTCCTCACCAGGCACTGGGAACCCACGGTACCCACTCTACGCCTCCCACAGAGATGGGACTGGCAAGGCTTTGTCAGGTCAGTTAGGAAGCGGGTTGGCGGTGACCGTGGAAGACTCAGACTGTCACATGCCCTCACTGAGTTCTACTGTCTGGATCCCACTTGTCATTTTTGTGTGGGATGTTCAAATGAAGAGTTACTTGATGGGAAGCTGGTGACACTGAAAAGGGGAGTGGAAACCTCAGGACTCACACCCACCCCCTGCCTTCAGTCCCTTCCCTTCCTTTCCCAGCCGGAGCTGGGATCCCTGGAGGTAATTTCCCTGTGCTTTGTTTGTATTGGAGGACGGTGGCTGGGTACCAAAACTCACTGCCCCAGGAAACTCTGAATCAATAACAATCATTAGTAATTAAAGTAGCAGCCATTGGGACCTAGGAGTTGAAGTTCTCAAGGTGAGGGAAAGAGCTACCTGTCTGCCCCTGAGTGGGAAGATCTGTGCTGACTCTGGGCCACCTCCTGAGACCTTGGAAAAGCCAAAAGATCCCAGCCTCAGTGGTAGAAAGTTTAGAAGAAGCTCTGACCCCACCATAACTCTAGCAAGTCCTCTTCATTATGGTCTAGGCTTATATGTTCATTTGTTTGCAAGTTCCTCCCCTGCTTCTGGCTTCACTGAAATGTTAAGTCTCAATCTCTCCCCTTTTCCAATTTCTTCCCTGATGCCACTCCATGGTACCTTCTTCCTGTCTCAGCTGTCACAGGTAGGTGCTGTTGGCACAGTTGGCAGGACAAATAGATCCTATCATAGTACCCAGGCCCTGGGGACTCCTTAGTAACTTGAAAGGCAAGGAGACCCACTCCTGCTATGCTCCCTCTTCCTAATTCTGAAATGAAAGCTCCCCAGATTCAGCTGATGTCTTCTATCCCAGTTTCTTTGGGCATCAGGGTGCTACAAGGGATAGAAACTGACAGGGAGACACTGAGGGAGCCAGACCTACTGTGGGAGGAGGCATTACTTTGGGGTGACAGCCCCCAGCTGTTTTATCTTCTCTTCTGAAGCTTTATCTGGAAGCAGGACCTCCACAGTGAAACTGACCTTCTTGGCATGAATGAAGCTGTAGGTGTTGTCAAACCGCAAGACATCTGAGGGGAGGCAGAAAACCAGACATTCAGGCAATTCTGACAAAGGGCTTGAGGACAGCAATTTTTGTTGACTGAGCAAGGCAATGTGATAGGTAATAAGGATGAAGGAGGTAGCATAAGCAATGGACCTCCACCTTCTGCAAATGAATCTAGCTGGATTGACAAAAATGTTCATGGAGAGAAAAAATATATATGAGATAGAACAAGCCAAGTACCATATGAGTGAGAGAGACAGTCACATCTGTAAATCTTGGGAAGAGAGAGCCCTATAGACTGAAATTATGTAAAAGGCCTTTTAGAGGAGTTAGAGCTTGAACTAGGCCTTGAAAGGAGGAAGTAGAATTCATAGCAGCAGTAGTTGTTACAATAATAATAGTAATGATAACCATGGCTATGTGTTTCAGCACTGGGTTGGTAATCTATATATTTTATTTCACTATTCCTCAAAATAACTATGAGTTCAACATTAGTCCTGTTTTACATCCTATAAAAAAGGAGGTAACTGTGTCACACAGTGAGGAAGTGATAGAACTGGAATTTCCCTCTGATCCAAATTGCTGCCTGACTTGGGCCCTGGAAAACCCCACTCTGTTCATTTTCTGACAAAAAGTAAACTGTGCAAACCATTTGAACCAGGAATTTATCCCACAGAAATATAAATGGACAAAGTGCTCATTGCACCCCTGTTTGTAAGACTAAAAGCTTGGGAAAACTCAAATGTTCAAAGGAGAATTGCTTAAAAAGTTCATATTGTGCCCTAGCCAGTTTGGCTCAGCAGTTAGAGTGTTGGCCTGCGGTCCACAGAGACCTGGGTTCGGTTCCCGCTAAGGGCACGTACCTTGGTTGCAGTTTGTCCCAGGCGGGAAGCAGCCACTCGATGTGTCTCTTTCATGTCGATGTTTCTCTCTTTTCCTCTCTCTCCCTCCCACTCTATCTGAACAAACAATGGGAAAATGTCCTCGCGTGAGGATTAAAAAAAAAAAGTTTATATTGCAATCCATATGATGAAATACTGTTCTGATATTGAAAGAAAGAAGTTAGCCTCATAAGAAGTGACTGGGGAAAGCATCTACAATGTATCCTTTGGCCAAAAAAAGCAAGTTGCAGAACATATTAGATATATGTTTGTAACTTTTTTGTTAATATAGTTGTAAAAGTAACTTTGGCTTTGCTACTTTGTCTATCTACACTCCCAAATTCTCTTTGATGATACTACTCACACGCTTGTTCTAAAAGGAAAGTTTTCATGTATGGCCATACCATCCTGACCAGGATTTTCTCAAATCCTGTAACAAGTTTTACCATGTCAAAATTCTTTCAAACATACATTAAATGGCAGATAAAATTCCTGTGAATGTATATGTGTGTATACATGTCCTGTGTTTTATGGCAACATGTAATGCTTCTAAAGGGATAGGAAATATTTGATAAGATAATAGACAAGACCTATTAGGAGTGGTTTCCTCTGGGGAGAAAAAATGGGCAGGCAGTAGACAGAGAAGGCTTTCCAGCCTTGGCTAAGGAAGAGGCTGCTTTTAATCTAACCCTCTTCTTCTTCCTCCATTTTTTTTGAGAGGTACCATTTTAGTCAAATACCCCTTCAAGAGAACAGAGTGTGAACACAAAAAACTAGCTCTGCCTCCTTCCCTATCGTGGTCTTCTCTCACTTTTCCCAACAAAAACAAGCAAACTGTGTATTTAATCCTGAGGCTTAACCTCAGTTTAGACTGAGAGTAGACACACCACCCTCCCTTTGTTCATGGTGTGAAGTGAATATTAGTCATTGGTTTTCTCTATGCCAGAGGTCTTTCAGGACTCATAGTCCCTCTGGAAAGTGGGAAGCTTCCTCTCTTCCCTGGATGACAAAACCTTAGCAACTAGTCAGTTCTACTAGAGAAGTCTTTGAGCATCTTGGACCAAGCACCATGAAGGTGGCTTTGCCTAGCATGATATTCTACCCTAAGAAACAAGGAAGGGGGTATTCTGAGGCCCAGGCCTGAGGAAAGTGGTGTTCATGGATTGCATGGTTCATTTTGACACTAATCATGTAGTCACAGACTCAGAGCCCTCCCCCACGCCCCCGAGATCCTCCAGGCTAGGGCTCCTTAACTTTTGTTGGGGAACTGACCCCCTTGAGAATCTGATGCTTTAATCATCAGAAGAAATTCTCACACAATCTCAGATCCCCTGTGGCCCATCATGGACCCTCTGGAGCAGTGGTTTCCAATGGGAAAGATACCATTCTGAAGAGAGGTATCTTATTTATGTACTGAAAAAAAATTCTAAATTAGCTTCCTTTTATTTCTCCAAATAGGAGATTATATTGATTTTTAAGTTATCTGTGTGTTATTATATTTCAGTATAGCAAAAGGGACATTAGACACCATTTGTTATAAAGGGGGAGGTTTATTCTTGAAAATTTATGATTACTGCTCTGGGGAGTCCCTGAACCCAATTTAGATCTCTTGCTCTAGCCCACTCCTCTCATTTAAGGAAGAGAGGAAAACTTAATTATTTTGGGACACTTGCTCAGAACACTCGGAGAGCTAAAGGCGAAGCTGGACTCTGAAACCAGGCCTTATGATGCCCCTGGGCTCTTCACCCCAGCACTTTGTGGCAGTACTGTTTCACCTTCGTTCAGTGTTTCAGGTCTTCTAGACCACATTCTCCACTCCTAGCAGACAAAGTCCAGATCTTTTTTTCTGAATCTTTTTCTTTCCTAGTAGAGTATTCAACACTCAGGCCCTCAGGAAATATTAGTTGAGAGAGAGAAAAAGAAAAAAAAAAAAAAAGTGAAATCAATTTAGACTTTGTTTTTTCTCCTCAGTAACTGAGGATACTTGGTCAAGGACAACAGCAGCCTGGGGAGAGTTAACATGCTCTTGCCATTGGAGACAGGCACAGAGTTTTCATTTCTCCACTGGGTGATTATGCTCTACTTTGCAGGGGTGCCTGGTACTTCAGGGACATTGGCCTCCCACAAGTGAGTTTGTAGCCTAAAGCTGGGTTCTCCCTGGGCGCAGGTCTAACCTGAGTCATGGCCCCAGACAATAGCTGATCACACCTTCTTTGTTTTCTACCTGGGAAGGGGGCATGGACACTGTGGCCTGCCTCTCCTCCTCCTGGGACTGGACAACAAGCAGTTCCCACTCAGGGCCCCACAGGCAGATCAACATTCCATCCAGGAATATATCCAAGAGGAGCTGAAATAAGTTCTGGATTTGCAAGCCTAATCCTAATTAGTTAAAAGCTTTTCTCAGGCTGTGTCCCTCAGATCCAATGGAAGGGTAATGGGCAGTGCTGCAAAATGAGTTGGGCTCTGCTACTGGCTGTGTGATCTGAGTAAATTACTTCCCTGGCCTGGGATTCCTCTTTCTTCTGTTAGATCCAGAGTGGATCTGATCATCTCCAGGACTGTCTACAACCAAGAGATCTTGGACCAGGATCCTAGGAGTCTTTGGTGTCTTCTGTCTTTTGGTGCTTACACAAGCTACTTTGTGCAAGAGTGAATATCCCTTCTTTCTACTTCAGCTTCTTTGTCCATTAAAAAAAGAAAAGCAGCCCTGGACGGTTTGGCTCAGTGGTTAGAGCATAGCCTGCAGTCCAGAGAGACCCGGGTTCGGTTCCTGCTAAGGAAGGGCATGTACCTCAGTTGCAGTTTGTCCCCGGCCCTGGTTGGGTCGTGCGGGTGGCGGCCACTCGATGTGTCCCTTTCGCATTGATGTTTCTCTCTCTCTCTCTTCCTCTCTCTCCTTCCCGCTCTATCTGAACAAAAAAATGGAAGAATGTCCTCAGGTGAGGATGAAAAAGAAAAGAAATGCAAGCTTATATGTACAAGATGATATATGCTCTGTGGATGACAGTATCTGGGCTGGTGTTAAGCCTTGTTCTTGCTGAAGCACACAGTATATGCCTTCTCCCCCAGGACCCACCTGCTCGCTAACAAGAATACTCCTCCTCCCTGGGGAGAATACTACCACAGAGCATCTGTGAGGAGGTGGCAGTGGAGACTGAAAGTTGTCTGGGATGTGGGAGAGGACACAGAATCTGAGGTTGGGGTGATGGTGTAGACAAGTACAGAGGCCAAGATATTTGTAGGGTTAGTTGAGATTGTGGTGCTGCTATCAAAATGGAGCACAGGGCTTCTCCCATCTCCGGCACTATGTCCAGGATGGCCCTTCTCCCCCAGGTCTTGCCCTGATAACAATAATGGTGGCAAAAGTGTGTTGAGCACTTGTCGTATGCCAGTCATTATGCTAAGTGCTCCATAGACTTTATCACATTGAATGATTGTGTGTCCCTGTGAGGTAGAGAATTTGATCCCCATTGTAGCAAGCAGGAAACTGAAGCTCCGGAAAGCTAAGTCACTTGCTTAAGGACTAGTCTGTTGTCAAGTCCAACTCAGCTGGATGATAAAGCCCTTGTTCTCATTACTTTCCACATCTGGCCCCTTGGCTCTTGACAGTAAGTGAAATAACATATAATGCAACCAGTTTTACCATAGGCTAATTGATGTAGTCCCTACAGCATATCTCTGGTCACAAAAACATCACCACAATTCTAATACCCAAAACACTTCTATTATTGAATAAATGTTTAAATAAATGTGAGCTATATATACATTTAAGAAAGACTAAGAAGACCTGGCTGATTTGGCTCAGCAGTTAGAGTGTCGACCGAGGACCTAGGTTCTCAGGTTTGGTTCCAGTCAAGGGCATGTACCTGGGTTGCAGGTTCAATCCCTGGCCCCAGGCCGTGTGGGAGGCAGCCAGTTGATGTCTTTCTCACATCAATGTTTCTCTCTCTCTCTCCCTCCCTCTCTCCCTCCACTCTCTGAAAATCAATGGAAAAATATCCTTGGGTGAGGATTAAAAATTAATTAATAAAAAAAATAAGTTAGCATTCAAAAAGAAGAAGAAAGAGTAATAGAAACAAGTAAGATAATGATTTTCCAAATGCCTTATTTCAGTTCATCGTCAGTGGTGGCCAGAGATTCTAGGAGAGAGTCTCATAACTCAGGGCACCTGGCATGAACCAACTCTGGACAGGATGCCATTCCAATGAAGGGCACATTCACACACTCATAATGGGACAGTTGAGACAACCCCTTCACCTTACATGTACATCCTTGGAATGTGGGAAAAACCAGAGTCCCTGGAGAAAACCCACACAGATATGGGGAGAAAGTGCAAACTCCACACAGTGGCCCCCGCTGGTAATCCATTTATTTCTTAACAACATTATAATGAAACAATGTTGAACAAAATGATGTTATTCAAGGACCTGCCATAGTGTGAAAATGAAAGCCCTATCATCTTCCTACCAGTCCAGAGATAACCACCATGAGAGTTAGTACAGATTCCACAGAATCCTTTTCTACGTACTTATTTTTTATTAACCAAAGTGAGTATATATCATATATGCTGTGTTTCATACTTTATTTTTTTAAGCATGTATCTCGTGAATGGGTATATTGTACACCATTGTGTGGTTGGACCATAGTTTATTGAACAAGACCTTATTAAGGCCGTTTAATTCATTGCCAGTTTCCAGGCTGCTAGGAACATCCCACATCTTTATGACTGTGTAAATATTTCTGTAGGCTAAATTTCTAGAAGTAGAATTGCTGAGTCAAAGGGAATTTTAATCAATATTGCAAAGTTCACCTTTGCAAGTAAGTTATCTCACCTGTGCAAAGGAAGGCAGCTGGAGTTCCACTTCTAGTTCTAACCTTTTCAAATGCCTATCTGCCATTCTTATTTCTCTTGGGTTAAAGTTCCTGTTCACATCTGTTCCCATTTTTTTATCAACCTGGAGATGAGTGAAGTTTAGAGGGATCAAGGCTGGACTTCTCACAACCCTGCTCACCTGTGATCCCTACACCCACCCAGCCAGTTCTGCCTCTCTGACATGTGGGGAAGAGTTCTCAAGAGATGTTTCTTCATGGTCACAAACCCAGTGAGACCTGGACCAGAGGGTGAACATTCCCTTGTGATCATCTAGCACTGTGACTCACCTCTACCTGGTAGGATCAAGTCAGAATCCCAGCCTGTTATTAACCAGATGAGTTACCTTGAACAAGTCACTTCACCTGTCCAAGTAAGTTATCTCACCTGTGCAAAGGAAGGCGGCTGGAGTTCCATTTCTAGTTCTAACAGCCTGAGAGCCTAACCTTATGGAGAAAGAAGGACCTCACAGGCAGACATCTAGGTCAGGAGCTTCAAGCCAAGACAGAGATACTTACAGATGCCAGGATTGCTGCAGGTGAGGGTCCCATCCTCAGGCACCAGGTGGGCATTGTACCTCTGGTTGGGCAGCACCTCTGTCATCTCCCCTGCCTTCTGCCGCTCCCCCATCTTGGTCTTCAGGAAAATTCCAAAACCGATGTCTGAGCCTTCCGACATGAACTGCCACCTGTGGGAGTCATCCACCCATTCAGACATGATTAGAAAATCTCTGGGGTCCTGCCACCAGGGTTTCTCCCACCCCAGCCCATCTACCAGCACCTAGGTCTCCTGGAAGCGTCCAAAACCCTACCTTAGGACGCAGCCAGGGAAGAGGATCTCATACTCCACTTGATGGGAGGAGCCACGGGAAATCTGCACATTGTGCTCATACTGCTGTTTCACCTGGTCTCGCACATAATACTTCTTGGGGATGTCACCCCCATAGTTAATCTAGAAGCAGAACATGGAGTGAGCCGGAATGTACATTTGAGGCAGGCTTCCCTGGTCACCTCCAGCCCCTGGGGCCCATACCTTGGATTTGCACTTGGGGTTTCCATCAGGATCAGTCATGGTGCCCCCATACTCCACAGGCACCTGGTCAGGGCTGATATATTTCAATAAAACCTCCTTCCAGTTTGCTGGCAGGAGAGGTAAGGAAGGAGAAAGAAGGGTTACCACTAGGCAAGATTTCATCACAACCCCTGCCGTCTACACAAAAGAGGCAGAAAAAAGAAAACCATCTGCCCCCACACACAAAACAGTCATTAGAAGCAGGAGATGTGTGCACAGCACTGCAGGGGTTCAGGAGCAGCTGTCACCCAGAGGATGACCCTACCCTGCACCAGGAGCCAGGAGACCTGGGGTCCTGTTTCCACTGCCTCTGGCCAGCTTATCATGGGAGTGCAGTGATCTAAGTACTTGAGAGGGTGTTGTAAACTGTCAAGTGCCCTCCACCAGGAGAGCGCATTATCACTTCCAGGAAGGTGATACTAACATTTGAACTGTAAGCAGGAGGGCACAATGCAAGGAGGGAAGGACATTCCCTGCAAAGGGGACAGCATGTGCAGCCTACAGGAGGGCCAGGATCAACAAGATCTGTCCTGTCAGACTGAACTACGTGAAGACACAACCATGTATCTCATCCCCCACTTTTGCTACACATAACCATGCTCAAGTGTGACTGAATGACCACATCACTGTAGAGTGACCCCTTAAAATGGGTTTTCTTGGCTTTACCTCAGCTAAGATTTTACATCTGCTCCTGGTTTGTTTGGGTTTTTTTAAAGGCCATTTAGCTGCCAGGGATTTGGCTCATTTTTTGTAACCAAGCCCTGTCCTGACTAAGAAAGTTTGACTAGTGCAACCAGTACTGTGAACCACTTCTCCTCCATTTCAAATTCCTCAGCAAATATCAGCCAAGTACAATATTTTGATAGTGGAAACCTTTCCATGGTGAGGTAAGGAAGGAGAAAGAAGGGTCACCACTAGAAACCGTATAAAGGCAGCAGCTTCAAGTCATGGGGTACAACCCAGTATACTCTGTCGCCAGTGCAGGCTGGAAACCCACAGACACTGTCCAGGGTCTCCCAGCCCTCAGATTTCAGGGACCCGAGTCCATGCAACTCCTGGAAGGCAGTGTCTGTGGTCTCGGGGTGATTTAATGTGTTGCTAAGCTCCAGCAACCAGCCCAGAGTGAATTTCTTCCCCCCTATGTTGAAGATCCTATCCTGTACCTTCTCAGCCCGAGGTGGGTTTGGTTGAAAGGGTTTCAGGTGTGGGTGGGAGAACAGACTGAACCTCCTCCACAGCTCTGCTGCCAGGAAATCTGTCTCATGCTCATGGTGGGTGGTAGCAGCAGAGAAGCCAAAACCATCAGAGCCTTTGCTGGGATTTTTGTATTTCTTCCCCCATCTCATCTGGAGAGTTGGAATAAGGCCAAGGGGATTCTTCCCATCTTACAGAGAGAGTCACTGAGGCAAAAGAAGCAGAATTTGTTGCTGCCAGAGCTAGGATGAGAACCCCGAAGTCCTGGACTTTCCAGACTGCCTCACCACTCCTAGGACTCACAGCACACATTTGGAAAGTCTCCGCTTTCAATACATTGCCTGAACATTCAGAAACCTCCAGAATACCTACTACCTACCCCCAAGTTCAAATCTGGAGGTGCCTCAAGTCTTCCATGATCTATCTAGTCCCAATCTACCTTTCTAGCCTTTTCTCCTACCACTCCACTTAATGCTACAGCAAAATGGACTCCTTTCTGTCCCTGGCTGGCTTCCCTTGTGCCCTGATGTTCTCCCTGCCTCCTTACACATCCAGTCTCTGCCCACCTGCTACTCTGTCAACCTCCTCAATCACATGTCAGTCTCCCTGGTTGGCTTCTCCTCCTCTGCTTGCCCTTAAGCTTGGATATCCCCAGGGTTTAGCCTCTGTTTTTCTGGGGGCAGTCTTATCTGTTCTCAGGGTCTTAGCTGTTGCCTGCATTTGATAGCTCCCAAATCTCCAGGCTGGAGTTCTCACCTAAGCGTCAGGCCCAAGTATCCCCAGTATCTGTATATCTCACACACACTTCAATCTCAACTTCAAGCTTATTCTTCCACTTGTATTCCTCCATTGAACTAATTGCATCAGAGTGACTGCAATACTCAGTCACTCATGCCAGACATGAGGAAGTCATTCTGGATTTCTCTTCCTCCTTTCCTATATCCAATCATCTGAGTTCTTCTACTTCCTAGATGAGTCCTAAATCCACCCTTTCCTCTCTTTCTCCACTGCCTCTGTCCTGTCATGGGCTTGCAACACCTGCTGCATAGATTATGGGCACAGTGGGCAAACTGGTATCTGTCCTTCATGATCTCTCCAACGAGATATGTCTCAATTTGAAATCAGATCCTGGTATTCTCCTGCTCAGAACTCACCTGGTTCCCAGTAGCGTGTAGAGTCATGCCCCAACCTCTTAGCATAGTACCCTGGAGTCTCTGTGACCTGCTCCTGGCTCCTTCTTCAGCTTCATCTCCTGCCATACCTTGCTGTGCATGCTACAACTGCCTGTGCCATGGTATGTAAGGTCTTAGTTCAATGCTGTTCCTTCTGCCTGACAGCCTGTTGCCTTGCTTTATCTGGCTACTCTTACTCATTCCATAGCAATCGGCTGAGGTAGGCCTTACCTCCTCCCTAGGTCAAGTGTGCTTGTTGTCTCCCTTTCCCAAGAGACCCAGGGCTCTTCAAGGGACTTGGTCTAATTCATCTTTGTAGCCCTGGCACTTAGTCCAGGGCCTGGAACATAGTAGGTGCTTATCAGCTGAAAGCAACCTCTGCTTCTGTGACCTCCATGGCACCGTCTCTAGGCCATTTTAGTACCTTTTCTAGTTTTTGTCATAGCTTTCCCTCTAAAGGTCTTCTCTCTCCTTTTACACTGTAAGCTCCTTGATGGCACGGACTGGCATTTCATTCATCTTTAATCTACAATGCTGAGCTCATTACTTTTTTCTAGAGTGTCTGAGAGAAAGAGTTCTTATGAAAACAGACATGAAGACCTTAGCCCAGCCCCAACTTGCTCCTGGGTCCCACTGCTCCCAAACCAGCAGAGGGAACTTTGGCCCTGGTGGCTGTGGCCCTACCTCTAAAACCATCCCCAGTTTGGGCCACAGACCATTCGGAGGAGTTGAGAAGAGTCTGGGCTACTTACCCCCCAGGACCATGATCTTCTTACGAGTGTCCTCACTCAGGAAATGTTTGATCAGGTTAAAGGCCACAGGAAACACCTTGGGGGCTGGAACAGAGACCAGACAATGTGAGACTGGAAGCAGTCTCTAACCGTCCCTAACAGTGTCACCCACAGCGCCATGTGTCAGGCCACGTGTTCCCTAGTGCCATGGAGCCCACATAGGCAGCCCAGGATGTGAGGCTCAGCACAGGCACCTCTTTGATTTCCAGCTTCCCCCACTGTACAGTGGGTATGGTAAAGTGACTATAGTCTTCCCGTCTCACCGGGCTGGCTGGCTTAAAGGCAGTGATAAATCCTACAAGCTTTGTGGACTGTAAAGCAGTCTGTGTATGTCAAGGGTCCTCGGACTCCCTCCTTTTGGTTCACTCTATTTTACTCTCCTGAATCTGTCCCAGGAACATTTTTGGCCCCTCTTTCTCATTTGACTTCCTCACATGGAGTTCCCAACTTACCTTTAATAATAAAAACACGCTTCAGTGTTTCAGGATAATTATCCTCAACCATGCAGAGAAACTGTGGAAACAAAATCACTGAGTCTAGTGGGCTCAGACCTCTGTGCCAGGGTGAGGCCGACCTCCTCCAGGCTAGACTATGCCCCCATCACCTCACCCATCCCACAGGGCATCTTAGCAGAGGTACCCACTCCCCCATTCTCTGCCCCTCACCCTGCCTCCCCAGTCCTGCCCCTCACCTCTCCATAGGTCTCCACAGCCGGCTTCCAGAGATGCTTGAGGCCAAGCCCCTCGCAGTCGTAAATCATGGTGACGGTCTCCACCTTCTTCCCCATCTGCAAGGGACAGAGGAGCAGAAAGTCACAGCAGGCTACCCCGATGCAGAAGCCCACCCAATTCAGGGCAAATGCTGATAGTGTCATGTGTTCATATTGCAGCCAGATATGGGCAGGGCTGTACCTAGGGTTTTCCAAATGGAGAAAATGACTCCAGGACAGAATTGTGACCCAGGCAAGTCACCCTTCCTGCCTAGGTCTCCATGTTCTCATCCAGTAAACCACTGGATGGATCTAGATTACATCTGAGGTCAGTTCTGTTCTGCAGTTTGACCTGGCGGCCTCCCTCTTCCTGTGTGAGCAGCACCATGGAGTGCTCTGCCAGGTGGCTTTGTGCAGCCAGTTATCTCAGGCAGACGTTCTCTGTCCAACCTAAGCCCTGAAGGGTGCATTCCAGTCTGATGCTTCTTTGCCTCCCTGCACACAAGGTCTCTGCACACACTAGGTTTTCAGTGAATGTTTGTGGATGACAGTGTTGAAATGGTCCCAAACTTCTCTCATCATTTCATTGGATCTTTCCATTTGCTGAAGGGGAAGGAAGGAGAAAAGATCATGGTAGCAACTCCAGCTGGCTCTTCAGCGTGTTTCTCAGTAAGGAAATCAGATGTCTTTTTTTTTTTAAATACAGAATTAAAGAAACATTGAATCTTAGCTCATCCACAACAGTGATATCCAAATACTTACCTAAGAATAGGGTGGTCTGTGACAAAGATCTCACTGGTGCCCAGATAAATGAGAAAAATAGCACTAATGTAGTTAAATTCTTTATGAAGCTAAATTTATTCCATTCAAAGGACTGCCCTTTATTCTGAGATTTTTGGCATTCCTATAGTTTTAGGGGTTAATTATGCTCATAGTAGCTGGCAATTATTTTTAAGTCCTTCCTTGGAAAAATAAAAATTTAGCAACATATATCACTCCCTAAAACTTTGAAATTTCACTGGTCTATGAATTCCAAAAGTCCAGCCCTGAATCTGTGTTTAAGCCCCTGTGTGTTGTCCCTGCTTCTGTCTGAGCACCTCTAGCATGATTAGCTCCTTTTCAACTGTCTTGGTCTACACACCTTTTCAGACTGGCGCTTACACTCCTGCAGAAGCAGCTCGCAGTCCCGCATCTTGGTCTTCAGCAAATCCTGTTTGGTGGCTGAGAGGAGCAGACCCCTGGCATCCAGAGGTCCAATGATATCGTACCAGATGGGAGAGCCCTCCATGTCATAGCCACACATGCCCCCTGACAGATACTGTTGGACCACCTGGGCAAAGACACACAGAAGGCACTTGGTCAGCAGACCCAGGGTGGCTACATCCTCCCTGCATCCTGGGGCCTTCCTCTGGGTTCATCAGTCTCTCCCTCCACAGCCTCCCCGTGGGTGCCAGTGGATACCCATTCTGGGAACCATTAGGACCCACTTGTCATTGTCCGAGCTTTCTTCTGGGGGGTTCCAGTCCCACAGGCCCAGGACGCAGGTTGTGGGTCTGATGACCTAACAGAGGGGTGGGCCAGAATCATTTGTCCTCACCTCTGGAGGCTGCCAGCTCAAGACGTTGTCAATGTCCTTCTGCTTTCGGAACTCCACATGCTGCAAACACACAATCAGGGCTTTAAAAAAGTGAGAGTGGGACAGGGGGATCCTTTAGTAGACACCTAGCAGTAGGTGACAGCATGAACCGTTAAGTCATGAGAAGGGAACTGGCAGGAATGCAAAAAAAAAGGGCACTGCCTATTTTAGAGGTCTTGGCAGAACACAAATTCTTGGCTAGCCCAGACCTATGAAAGCTCTGTGCTTCCAGGGAAGGGAATGCACTTTTTTTTTCCAGAGAGAAAGACAGTAGTGTCAGCAAATACTCAGATATGTCACACAAGCCACAGGCTGTGATGGAGGTGGATGGGATGGGCAAAAGAAGTTCATGCACTGTGCGATTCTGATGGGCAGAAGCATAGGTAACCATGAGATTTGGAGGCAAAAGGATCTCACCTTCCGGAGCATGGCCTCGGACTTCTGCAAGTCGAAGCTTCTTGCTGTAAGAGGGAAATGTGGTCAGGGCTGGGCCAGCAGACTGAGTGTCCGAGGACACAGAGACTTTCCCTGTTCCCATACTGGGGCCAGCTCCTCTCCATCAGTACCCCAGCCGACTCTCAGATCACCCCACATGCAGAAGCTAATGTGAAGATCTTCACCGAGGGCATCCAGAGCACCACAGTCCTGGAGAGCAGGTCAAGGTTCAGGGCAGGTGGGGGCACATTGCAACCCCAGGGTCAAATGAGTTTTGCCCTAGTCAGTGCAATGAGGTGAAGGGTCTTATCTCCTCTCAGGAAAAGTGAACCCTGGACTCCCTTATCATTTAGCCTTCCCCTTACACAAAGTTAATCTCTTCCCCAGTCTAACATCCAGTCCTGAGAACTTGACACACAGTTCAAAGATGAACATAGCTCTCATTAGAGCACGGAGATTGGAGGGGACCCGCATTAGCGGGTAGGCGGTGACATGAACTGCCTCATACGTTACAGTGGATTTACCATGTCCCTTCCTTGCAGTACCCTCAAAACCTTTTGCCTCCGCTACCCCTAGCCTTTTTCCTTACTTTAATCTGCACTGGGAACCCTACCTTTATCCCAATCCTTTAAAGTCCAGCCACCTCAGGAAAAAAAAAAAAAAAGATGAACATAGCTGCCCCATAATATGGGGTAGAGCTGGTAAAACATCCCAGCAGGGCGGAGGGATTGATGAGGTCCCAGTCAGCCTTGCCATGTCCTCCAAGGACCCACATATACCCCAGTGGGACACAGAGGGCCCTCCTCCCAGGGTTCCTGGAAAGTTTCAGAATTAAAGTTCACCTAGGCCAACTTTATTTTATGCATGAACTCCAAAAAGCTGTCCTGCTAAAGCTTGAACACAAAGACCTCACTGCCCCTCAAAACCTCCTGCTCCCAGAGAGTCCGAGTTGCATTTGCACTTAGTCCTCATTGTTATACTGAGCGGAGATCCACTCCAGACACTTAGAGAGTGGGGTGGGCTCTCCCAGCCATGTGACAACCTTTCCAATACTGGCAAATACTGTGCTGCCACCCAAGCCCCCTCTGCTCTCATGCTGCCCATCTGTGGATCCTTTCATCATTCCTCACAGCTTGGTTTCAAGTTCACCCAAATAACTTCCCTTTGAATGTTTCCCAGTTTGCCAGTGCCCTTCATCGAGTGTGTTGTCCAGAGCTGAGCACAGCACCAGGTGTTGTCTACCCTTCTCCAGTAAAGCCTGAGAACTTTCTTGGCAATGGTTACACCCTCAACTCAGGTGGAACTCTTAGTCAACTGAAACCCCCAAATCCTTTTCAGCTATTCTGCTGCTAAGCCTTCATCCCATATGTTGTGGGGTGGTTTTCTGGCTCCACCCCTTTCAGATTTTATTTTGTTAAGGTCAGCTTTATTTCATACTTTAACGAGTTTTTGACCAGTGTTGTCATCCGATCTATGAACTGTCCCTCCCAGCTGTGTGTCCTCTTTGGAATTGATCAACATCAAGATCTGCTTGACTGCCCTGGAACCTGGGCCAGATGGACTGCCCTCTGGACGGTCACTGGTCCTTTAATCTCTGCTCCCCAGGAGTGACAAACATATTCCCTGATTTTGCTGTTATGAAATTCAGTGCACTCTTGGTGCGTCCAAACGGTGCATCGAGACATTTGACCAATGCCACACCTTTCATCAGTGCTGGACACTGTTTGCAGAACTGAACAGTCTTCACTCTTGGGAAGTTCCTCCCAATGGCCCTTGATGTGCCATCGTGGCAGCAGGAGGCAGCTTTTAGAGGAATATAATCAGGGTTTGCATCTCAGCCCTTCCATATCCCTGTTTGACCTTGAACAAGATAGTGCACATCTGACGGAATCATCTAATGAGCTAGACACACTTGAAAGATGCAAGGCAACATGTTGTCCTGATGGACAGCCTGGCTGGACTGTGAAAGTGAGAATCCTCCATAGGAAGGACACCCCTAACAGTGAGAAGAGACTTTATCTTCCCAGAAGGCAGGTGTGGCAGTGAACTGTGAGCCCCCTTATCTCAGGGTGGCTCTCCAGTTAACCCTTATCTGCCAGGGTCCAACATCCAGGGTCTTCAAGGGCCCTCTTGAAGTCGTTACTTGCCCCTGGTAGCATCTGGCCTGGTCCCTTCCTATGCCTGCTAAGTCGAGCCTTCCCAGGGCTCCTGCTGCCCTTGTTGGGGCAGCTCAAACATGGCTTAGGATACTGCCAGAGAAGCCCACCTAGGAGCAACTGTCTGGTGTTTTATTTGATCACTTCCCAGACCTGGACAATGAGAAGACTCAGTTCAGACCAGCTCTGTCCCCTCAGGGTTTCCACCACTTCCTTGTTTTTATCTTGCCATCTAAATCCTTGTTGGAGTGTCCAAACCTCAGTGAGGTCGGGGAGAGGCGGTAGAGATTCATGGGCCTGCTCTCACAGCCTGGAGCCAGGAGGAAACTGAGTCTACCTGGAGGGGAGAGGGGAAGAATGGAACCCCAGCTCATACCTAGGTTAGAAAAAGACATATTACTGCCATGCACCTTGCAGATGTTTCCTTTAGAACCAACGGAAGAAGAGAAAAGGTTTCTTCAAAAAGAGAGACAACAAAAACCCTAATTGAAATTCATAGTAAAGTCTGACCAGGCCTGAGCTCCCGCCTGGGAAATGTGAGGCTCATATGAAGTGCAAAGGAGATACTTCCTCTGTTTGAGGAGCCAAAGCTTGGCTTCAGGGGCAGCTATGGCTTTCTGGAGAGAATACTGGCCTGGGAATCTGGGGCCCTAGATTTCTGCTCTGATTCTGCTTCACATTAGCTGGGTGCCTTCAGGTAAGTGACCTCCCCTCTCTGAGCCTTAATTTTCTCATCTGGCAAATGAGGATGACCACACTCTGCAATGTCCCTGCAACGAGAGAGGTTATCCCACGACTGGGGAGTTGGGGGTGCCTGGGAAGATGACTGCAGGAACCCAAGCTGGACACCTGTTGGATAAAAGAGAGCTGCAGTTGTTCACAACTCTCTGAAACCACACTTCTCCACCTAACAGCAGTTTGGTTGTTTGATGATCTTACAGCTGGCCCTTTAAGGCAGTACTGGTTTCCCACTCTCTCTACCCGCCCACTTCTAGCTACAGCCCTTCAGCAATCTGCTGGTCCAAAATATCCTCTAGCCCTGGACTGACTCCACTGCCACCACACTGTCCCTCCACCTTCTCTGGCTGGGCCAGGGGTGTGGGTTTGTGGCTTTGTGGGGAGGGAGGGCAAGTGGAACATCCAGAGATACACAGAACCTTGTGTGGCTCTCCTGGCTGCACCTGACCTGGGGTGCCTGCTAGCAGTCCCTCAGAGCTCGCCAGTATGTTCAATTTCTGCACAGAAAAGGAAGACCCAGCTCTTCACCCACCCTAAGACTCTGACACTCTCTCTCTCTAATCAGCCATGATTTGTACTTTAATTTTTGAACTATGGTTCCACATCACAACCTAATCTCTGCTAATCTAAGAAGGTGGAATTTATTCTCTATTATTTCTATGTCTAGTAATAATGTTTCTATAAAGAAAAAAAGTGTCACAAGAACCAGAGAGGGTGGCACATGACTTGAATCACAGAACGGGAGAGGGAAAGAACAGAAAGTTTTCAGGAGTTTGACCCTGATACTAGGAGAAATGTGTACATTGCATCACATGCCCAGAGCTCTGTCATGTCACATTTTGCAATAGGCCGGGAGCCCTGTCTCGTCCTGCTGTCCTAGAGAGTAGTCTAGAGCAGATGTTCACCCCCTGGCCCATGTACCACAGCCGGGCTGGGGCAGAAGTAGAATTAGAACTCGGGACTCGAGCCTGGTGGTGGCTTGAGGGATGTCTTGTTGACCTAGTTCAGGCTGAGTCTCCCCATGTTCCCCATACCTTTTTCCCCACCTTCAAGCCGCCTAAACTGCTGGTAGCAGCAGGAGGCCTGCCATCCCAACAGGCCACAGAGGGGCTCAGCCTCTCCTAGGAGCTAGGACTCTGGTTCTAAACCTGACTCTGCTTCCAACTTCTCACATGACTGGGGCCTTCCTCAGCTTTTCTTCAGTCTGTTTCCCCAAGTTCATCAGCAGAGTAGATGGGAAGGGCACTGGGCTGGGATTCAGCCAACCTAGGTTCTAGTCCGATCTTTGCCTACAGCTCAAGCACTGTGTGACTTGGGGCAAGTTACTTCACCTGTCTGAACCTCAATGTTATCTATCCAGTAGAAGGGTTGAGGTTACGTAACTGACAAGAGCCCTTTTGCTCCTAAGGGTTGAATGCTCCAGATTCTCGGACTGCCAGGTCCAGGGTTTCCAAAGGGTGCTATTCTGTTACTCAGAACTAGCCCCTGCCCCAGCCTCCTGCAGCCCCTCTTCCCTCACCTCGGAGCCAGCGCAGGAGAAAATGGTCATCTGGATTCGGCAGGGTGGGCAGCACATCCTGGACATTCTCCCGAAACTGTAGAGAGAGGCAGCTGGGTGAGTGACAGGTCCCACCCTGAATGCCCTCTGCCCAGGACTCTCCATAGGGGCTTTGCTGGACCTTCTTCAACATGAGTCAACTATGCAGTCACTGGCTGAACACTTGGGCTGCATGGGCCACTCTGTCTGTCATGCTAGTGGGAGCCGAATAGCAGGAGGAGGTGGGAAAGGAGTAAGACACTGCTCCTGCATGGCTGTATGCACTTCTACACTCCAGTGTGGTTGGCTGGCGGATGTATTCTCAGCTAGCTGTGATAGTGGACACTGTGGGACATGCAACAATAAAAGTTGTCAGTTTTGCCCAGGCTGGTTTGGCTCAGCGGTTAGAGCATCAGCCTGCAATCCAGAGAGACCCGGGTTCGGTTCCCGCTGGGGGCATGTGCCTCGGTTGCAGTTTGTCCCCAGCCCTGGTTGGTCGTGCGGGTGGCGGCCACTCGATGTGTCCCTTTCACATCGATGTTTCTCTCTCTCTCTCTCTCTTCCCTCCCACTCTACTGAATAAAAAATGGAAAGATGTCCTCGGGTGAGGATAAAAAAAAAAGTCAGTTTACCAAGTATTCCCCCATGTGTCCAGCACTGAAAATGGCACTTATCTTATTCCTGCCTCATTCAGAGTCCCTAGAGTTATTACTGTCCCCATTTTACAGACGAAGGAATTAGAGATCAGAGAGGCTAAGTAACATGCCCAAGGTTAAACAGCTAGTAGTCAGCAGAGCTGGATGCAAACCCAGGTCTGTCAGAGGCCAGAGCATGCACTCTTTCATGGTCCCCCGTCCCCCTTAGTAATGGCATGGAGAGCAATGTGCTTGGCAGAGCAGAGGGAAGGAAGAGTTTGATTCTGACTGGGGCCAGGAACAGGGTGGTCTCATATGACTTCATATTTTTAAAAATTGGCATTTGAGCTGGTCTTGAAGGACATCAAAGGCAATAGGAAGAGGGAGGAAGGCTATTCAGGTGGAGGGAACAGTTCCAGTGGGAAGCCATGAAGGTGGAAAGTGCAGGGAGTGCCAAACAAGGAAAGTGGACAGTGACCCCAAGGGACGGCTACACCCACTTCCAACTGTTCAATACCCTAAATGTGAGCACACCTGCAGCCCATGCCCTCCCCATGCCTCCTGCTCCCAGCCACTCCTTTCCCTAGTCACTGACCTACAGGGCAGCCACAGAGGAGACCAATGAGGACAGCTACCTCTGCCCCTTGCCTAGGTCAGCCAAGGACTCAGACCATCCCATCCCCCAAACAACTTCCAAACCCCCAGGTAAACTGCTCCTCCAGGTCTCAGGCATGAAGACACCATCTAGCCCCTGGTTTCCAGTTTAATCACCATCTAATCCCTTATCTGCCTGATTTCTCCTGCAGGTCAGCAGTAAACTCTGAAACCTTCCTATCCAGCCTCCCTGGGATGGGGGAGGCCCAGCCTGAGCAAAGCCTTCATGGGGCTGGTGCCTTGGCCTCACTGCCATAGCAGGAGACCTGCTACCTTCCTCTCCCACCAATGGAAAACTGCCCTGCCGTGGATCCTGCAAACCTTGAGACTGGACCCGATTGACTCTGGCTCCAAGAACAGCCAACCTCCCCTCTTCCCAAGGACAACACAGAAGTGGAGATTCAGGTGGTGGGGAGGGAGGTACAACCCTTAAACTGTTGCTTCCTCCTCTGCCCAGGTGCCAAAGCAAAGCCAGGCTTACATCAGCCCAAGTCCCCAGCCAGGTGCGGGAAGAGATTGCAGGACCGGGCGGACTAGTCTCAGCTCAAATTAACCCCAACTCACTGGGTCACCAGTATGATCCCAGATCTCCCTTCACATCCTCTGGTCCAACCTAATTTCAGTTCATCAAGGAGCAAACAGATGAAGGATGGTTCTGCCCAAGGTCGCAGACTGACTTGGAACCAGAGCAGGGGCTACCCAAATATCCCGAGGAACTGTCCAGGGCCCTTTCCATCTGTGCCGCTGGCCCTGCAAGAGGAAATCCTCCCGGAAATGGAAGGAAACCCGGGGCCCTGCTCCCAGGGCCGGGCTGCCAATCCCGAAATCAATGTCGCCTTTGTGCCCTGAGCTGCCTCCAAGGGCTTCCAAGCAACCACTTCTTCCTAGGTGGTACCTCCAAGGGCTCGCTTCGGGCTGGCGCCGGGGTACCCAAACTTCCCCGGCCCCCACGGCGGGAGGAGGGAGGACGGGCGGGCCGCGGACCTCCAGGTGCCGCTGCCGCTGCTCCCGCCGCCGCCCGCCCGCCGAGGACGGTCGCTCGCCCCCCCATCCAGACCCTTCCCAGCTCGCTGCCGCCGGAGGGAGAGAGCCATCGCCTGGGGCGGGGGCCGGGCCGGGATGAGGGCTCACCTTGGCCAGAGCTTCCTTCTGCTTGGGGCTCAGGTCGCCGACTCTGCCGCTCATCTTTGCTGAAGCTCGGGGCTCCGCGGTGAGGCAGCTGATGGAGCTCGGACTGGTTCTCTGCCCACAGAGTAACTAACGTCCCTAGCCTTTTGCCGGGCCCGCTGGCTCGCCACCAAGCCCCGCCTTTTAAACGATCCTGAGGGGGCGGAGTAGGAGATGCTCTGGGCTCAGGAGCTTCTGACCGGTCCCCTTCGTCCTCCTGAGGTCAGGGACTTGGACAGGAGGGAGCAGGAGTGCCCATGCCAAGCCCAGGCCAGAGGGCATCAGAAGAACAGGAAGTCTGAATTTTAGTCCCAATTTTACTCTAAGCTCACAGTGTGGCCTTGGGTGAGACACCTGAGCTCTCTGGGCCTCAGTGTCCCCATCTAAGTGCTGTCAAATGAGCTCTTCTATGATCAGGCCCCCATAGCACAGGACCTCTCTCCCCCAAACAGCAGGGAGCTTGCCTGGTGCCACTAGGGTGCCCTAAGCCTAGCCATCTCTCTGGGGCCCTTGCCCTTCTGTTCTGCCCTCGGTTTTGGACAACTAATGCCAACCCAGCTTAGGGCCTTTCAGTATGGACAGCCTTTCTCCTCCTGTGAGTCAGACAGGCTGAGGGGGCAAGGAAGCACCTGGTCTCTCTCCCTACCCAGGGCCCTGAACTTTGGATCTGACCTTCCCAGCACTTTGAGAGCCATTCCTAAGTTGCTCACACCCTCAGCCAGCATGGAAGAATGCTTCAAAGGCCTGGGTTTGAGTTCTAAATCCTTCTCTTCTATGAGACTTCAGCAAGTGACTTCACCTCTCTGAATCCAAGCTTCTTCATTCACTCGGTGGAGGATCTGGACTTCAAGTCAGTGTGAGAGAATAAAGTGAGCTAAAGTACACAATTCACTCAGTGCAGTGCCTAGCACAGCGTTCGCCGCTGTGATCACTCCCTAGATTGCCCCACACAGGCTTCCTTTGCTGCCTGCCTGGCCAGGCTTTGACGTCTGGGTGGGGATGCAGCGTGGACAAGAAGGAAGCCACAAAGAAAGTCATGGCCCAATGAAAGCAGGCTTGCTATCAGCTTATCTGCTTTCTCACCCCCTTCCCTGTTTACATCCAGGGCCCAGAGCTGTGGGTTCCCGTGTGTAGCTATAAGTCTGACTGTCCTGCCATACCCCAGGCACAGCCCTTCCCCCATAGAATGAGCCATTTCCTCCTTTCAGAGCACCACAGCCCTCCACCTCTGCCTGGGACCCCTCCCCTTCACTCTAATTCTGTCTACCTATGGGTCACATGCTCTGGGCCATTCTTTCCTCCTAGTGTGTGCCAGGCCCTAGGCATTGTTCTGGGGACACTGAATGAATCAGACACTATCCTGCCCTTCCAAAAATAAGACACAAGCACCATCAACTAGAATACAAGAGCCAGATATATGTCCCAAGGAGAAGCAGCAAGTGACTGGGAGCTAGCCTAAAAGAGGGACGGTTTGTTTGGGGTTAGAAGAATCCTAGAGGTTCAGGAAAGGAGTGGCATTGGAGCTGGGACTGAAAATGTGGGGTGGGAAGAAAATAGAAAGATGCATTCATTCCATGGTGGCACAACAACATGAGCAAAGTTTTGGTGGTTGGTGGGAAGCATGGCCAGAGCCAGAGAGGGTGGGAGAGAAGGAGTAGGCAGGGAGAATTGGCAGAACCTTGATGTGGCCCCGCTTAGCAGCATTTACCCTGCTAGGTCATGAGATCCTGGGGCATAGCGCCCTGTTCCACTCACCTCTGAACCCTACAAGCCCTCTAACCCCAGTGGAGAACCTTTCACACCAGCTTTTAAATAAATGTATGCTGAATGAATGAATGCAAGAAATGCTCCAATAGACACAGAGCCAGGTGCTTGGAGAGCACTGGAAAGGAAACATAAACAGATCATTCAGGGATCAGGCAGCTCACTTCACTTAATAGCTATGTAAGCTGAGACCCAGAGAGGGCATGACTTGCACCAAATCGTTAGTGGCGTGATGGATGTGGAAACCTTTGCCTGGTGGCTGTACTGTGGAAGGTGCGCTGTCATGCCCTCCCTTTACTGCCTAAAATTCATGAAGAGTTAAGCCCAGGAGCCTGTGGGCACTCCGCCTCCAAGGATGGGCCCTCACCACCTCCACACTCATATCTCCGGGAGAGTAGAAACAGAAAACCCCCACGCTCTCCGCTCTCCGCGGCAGAAGGCAGAGGCAGGCTACAGCAGGCCCGTGAAAGAGACTTGGGAGGCCTTCACTCTGCATCTAGTGTGGCCCTATCATAGAGGTCTGCAGGGTGCAGAGTGAGGGTCTCAGGTCCAGCCCTGTGGCTGAGCGCTCCCACCCCACCTCCGTGTTTTCAGGTAGTCCCAGCAGTCCTACCCTAGTAAAAGAGTCATCAGCTTCTAGCTTAGGGCAGGCCATGGCCGCCTTCCTTGCTGGATATGTGGCTGAGACCTTTATTTAAGGCCCTTCCAGAGGCAAGATGTTCATTTCAGTGTACAGCCTACTCAATGGAAAATAGAAGAACAACCCTTATGTCGTTTCAGCACTTTATAGTTTATAAGACCTTTTCAGATCTAGCTTTTTATTTAAGCCCATGGTGACTCTCCAAGCTAGGAAGGTCAGGTGATTTACTGAGGAAACTGAGGGTAAGAGTGTGAACAAACTAGACACCTAAGCTCCTGGTTTCTGCGCCATATGCTGCCAGATGCCCGTGGGCCAGGGCATGGACTCACCTGAGAGCTGCCTGCAGGTGCTGCCATGGAAAGGAAAACATTCTCTCTCTCTCTCTCTCTCTCTCTCTCTCTCTCTCTCTCTGGCTTTCTCTCTCTCTCTCTCACACACACACACACACACACACCACAGGAATCTGGAGTTACCCATGATAAAGGCCTAAGTAAAATACCCTTCCTCCAGTCTTCCCTTCCCAGGTCCTGTGGCTGCCTTCTTCTTCTTCCCCACTGAAACTTATCTATTGCCAGCTCAATATGAAACAGCTAGTTAATATAATAATATAAAATCCTGGAATAATAATCTGGTAAACTCCTCCAAGAATCCCTCCTCCCCAGCCTCACCTTTTCTCTATCCCCCAACCCCTGCCCAGCAATTCTCCCTCCCTGCTAGATATGTTGCTCCCCAGCTCAAGAATCTGCAGTGGTTCCCTAGTTCCTTGACTTGCATTCAAGACCTACCCCTATCTCTTTCCAGCATCCCTTGTGGCCTTGACTGCCACTCATCTCCCTTCACACACTTTCTTTTGAACCTCCATGCTATGCCTCAGTTGTACCTCTGCCCTCCTGCCTCTGTCTGAGTTGCTGCCCTCACTTGTTTCCTCCTGCTAGATCCTCCCTGGCCTTCAAAGCCCTGATCCAATGCTGTTTTTAGGAACCTCTCCCTGATCTACCTGACCCAACCTGACCTCTGCCAACTAGTAGCCTCTGTATCCCGACCTTGACACTGACTACTTTGTGTTACAGTAGTGACTATCAAGTAACAGCCTGGCCCAACAGGAAGACCCCAGCCTCAGGGGTCAGGCAGGCCTGAGATGAGACCCAGGCCCTGCTACTTGGCAGCTCTGGGATGCTTGTGCTGTTCTGAAAATACCTCGCTGGGCAAGGTAGTGTGAACAGCTGAAAGCAGGCTGCTGGGGCACAGAGATCTAGGAAGAACATAGGCTGAGGATTCTTGTCTTAGGAGTCAGAGCCCTGGGGTTGAGACTGGTTTGGGAAGGGGCTCCAGGCACAGACAGGAGCACTGGATAGGGAGTCCAGAGCCTGAGGGTTAGGCCGAGTTCTTGAGTAAATGCAGTGCAGTGATAAGTCAGCAACGTGGGGGCCTCCACAGAGCTGTTTGCCCTTGACCTCTAGGCCTTAGATGCCTCTCCTCTACAACAAGGGCATTGACCTCCAGATCAAAGGTCACCACCGGGTCCCCTGTCCTCTGATTGTGTGGTGTCAACGGGAAAGGGGTGGTGTGGAGATTGGCACAGTTGAATTGAGGGTTGGAGAGAACAATCTTTTAAACCCTTCTACAAATATTTGTGGAACACTTTTCTTCCACAAGGCCAGGCAGCAGGAACTCTCTGGACAGCCCTTGTGCTGGCAGGTGGCCGTGCAGAAAAGCCCTGACTTGAGCCTCCTCACCTCCTCGTCTCCTCCCAGCCCTGCCATGTGGGGCTGCAGATGCCTCGAGTCCTTTTCCCACAAAGTGGGGAAGGAATGAAGAAATCAGAGCTACCAGGGACTGCATAGCAGGACCTGGACAGTAGAATGAGGAAGCAGGGTGATGAGCTCACTTCTGTACCTGCCCTCCCCCTCCCTCTCCAGTATAGTGCCACCATAGGGGATGCAGACAAGAGGGTCCCCACCCAGTCAGTGTGGGGGCATCCCATGTTCCCCAGAGAACTGATGGCTGAGCAGGACTCAGCCAGATTAGAGGGGGCAGGAGGTTTTCTCACTCATTTATTCATGCATTCATTCATTCAACATATATTTAACTGAACACTGTGCTAATCACAGAGTAAAAAACTGCCTGTGTAGCCCTGGCTAGGTAGCTCAGTTGGTTAGAGCATCATCCCAATACGCCAAGGTTGTGGGTTTGATCTCCGGTCAGAGCACGTAGAAGCAGCAGCCAGTAAATGCACAACTAGGTGGAACAACAAATGGATGTTTCTCTCTCACACTCTGTCTTTCTTTCAAATCAATTAATCAATCAATAAATAAAATAAAATCTAAATTTAAAAGAACCTCCCCTCATGGAACTTAGAGTATTGGGGATGGGGAGCATGCCCAGACCGAGATTGGGCTGTGGAGAAGTGAGGAGGGAAGTGGGGGCCAGATAAAGAATCAGAGCTGCCCTGGCCGATTTGGTTCAGCAGTTGGAGCGTTGGCCTGCGGACCAGAGAGTCCTGGGTTCAGTTCCCACTAAGGGCATGTACCAAAAAAAAAAAAAAAGAATCAGAGCTTGAGGGTATATGGATGTAGGAAGTTTCAAGAAGGATCTTTGAGCAGAGGGGAGAGGCTATTCTGAGATCCTTGAGCTGGGGATGCTCCAAGAACTGGGAAGGGAAGGGAGAGAGCAGCGAGTCTTCCTCCTTCTGGGGTCTCCTGTTGAAAGAGACTAGAACATCTGCCAGAGTAAGGTCAGACTGCGGAATAAGAGTGCTTTTGAAAGTTGAAGGGCCACAAATGGATCTCTTCTGGGGAAGGGGTAGAAGAAGCCCTCTTCTCAGGTCCCT